TGATCCATCCAAAGATATTTGCATTGAAACAAACGTGAGTACAAGAAACATATAAACGTCCTTGAACCAAAATTTCTCTTTGTAAAGCACATCCAAAATCTAAAATAATGATAAAATAAATAAATTAAATAATTAAAAAATTTACAATAGTTAACCTGAATTGTATGCAAATTACCATTTATCAAAGAATCATATTCAGGCACACTTCTAAATAAAGAATGGAATTCGATATTTCTTTTTGGAGTGGCAGGAACATAACCACCGCCAACTACAAGTGGAAGCTCTGTACCATTATCATCTTGAGTAACGTTCCCACAATTTATGCCGATGATCTTTCACGAGTTCCCACATTTACACCAAGCCCATCACTTGCTATACTGTTACGTTTTCTTAATTTTGATGTTTTAGGTGAAACAGTTTGAGGTAATACTTTGTAATGGTTATTGCTATGACTACCATTCTTCCTGTTGTTCCTTAGATTAATGTCACTGCTACCATTATTATCACTACTATACTGTTCATGACGGTCGGAGCTGTTGCCATTGTTGTGACTAAAAGGTGTAAATGTGGGAACTCGTGAAAGATCATCGGCATAAATTGGAGTTTCTAATTTATTTTCCTCGTCTGAATTATTGTTGTTGTTGTTTTCAAACTGTTCAATTTTTAATGATGCAGCAGACCAAGGAACATCATGATTGGTATAAGAAGAAGAATTTGAAGTGTCCAAAGTGAGAGAAGTTGTAGGTATATTATTTATACTAGTTATATTTGAGGTAGCAATATTGTCGTTATTGCTATTATCAAGATTATTGTTACTATTATTGTTATTATTACTATTGGTATTATTATTAGTGCTGTTAGTATTATTTAGGTTATCGTTATCACTTTCTTTTATAATATTACGATCATTGTCAATATTTTCTTGCAAATGAAATGTTTTTTCATTTTGATTTTTTTCTTCAGTTGTAGTATTGGTTGAAAGATTATTATTTTGCATGACAGATAAAAAATTTTAATTACTGCGTCAATTGAATTCGAAATTTTTTTTTTTAAA